TTTATATCGAGGCTCTAAATATTTTTTATATAAAGCAAGACCGAGGCCACGCAATGAGCGGCAAAGCGGCAAGCGGCTGAGCGGCGCCATACAAAAATGCCGCTCAGTCGCTCAGTAATGCCGCTCAGAGCATGGCCACTTCAATAGTATTTCATATGTTTTAATTAAGCCGCTCGCCCCTTTGCCGCTCATTGCGTGGCCTCGGCCTAAGGCGGCGGGCAAATCTCCTTATCCACCTTGAGTNGCGGCAAAGCGGCAAGCGGCTGAGCGGCGCCATACAAAAATGCCGCTCAGTCGCTCAGTAATGCCGCTCAGAGCATGGCCACTTCAATAGTATTTCATATGTTTTAATTAAGCCGCTCGCCCCTTTGCCGCTCATTGCGTGGCCTCGGCCTAAGGCGGCGGGCAAATCTCCTTATCCACCTTGAGTAAGGTGGAGCCGACGTAGTCCTGATCCAGGAGCCGTGGCTAAGCAGTAGCGGTATCTCCGGATCAGGACGCCTAATTTCTAGCTGATGGTCCAGAAACTAGCGGATAGACGAAGATCCTGCATGCTCATCAGAAACGAATTCAAAGCACTAATTCTACCTAACTTCAGTAACGAGGACATTGTGACTGTTAGCCTGGATAGCGGCGCCAGAAAGTTCTGGATTATATCCGCATACATGGCACATGATGACGAGGTGGAACCACCTCCATTACTGATACGTCAAGCCATAGCCGAACGGACGCAAATTCACGACACTCGTGCTGGGGAAGCTCAGTTATCAATGCAAGAGGTGAAACACTTTTTGATTATATTCTAAGTGAGGACTTATGTATTTGTAATAGAGGAATCGAGCCCACCTTTATCACCACGGCTAGGCAAGAGGTTCTTGGCCTTACCCTAGCCATGTCTTCTGTTATATCTCGCATCTCCGATTGGAGCGTTCTTAATGATCACTCCTTTTCGGACCATAGGTATTGTTAAGAAATTTCGAGATTGCGATTTAGATTTTCAAAGTAAGGTTTTAATTCAAGTTGTAATTCATTTACAAAATGTGCTTAGAACTAGTTAATATTTTAACAAAGATTTTTCAGTGGACTGTTTGAAGATTCTAGATGAATGTAAACATATGCAACTTTAATGTATGTACAAATATCGTACATATGAGCAATTTAAATGTGATTGGTTCAATTCAGGGAATGATAAATGATAAATATATGTATGAATGGTTGAATGATACTTAGTGATTCAGTATGATTGAAATCCCACGCCGATATACGTAGGTGGACGAAAAGTATGTATGGATAACTTCCCACGCTGTTGTTTAGGTCTTTGGTGATAAATAGTTGATGAGGTAGAACGATCCCTGCTGTCTTCCGTTCAGGTGGCGATGAAAAAGGAGCGCTGGCAAGGTTGCAATCGCCTTTTATAAGCAACACTGGAAATGGCTTCCAGTGCGCCTATGGGAAGCAATTCCCTTGCAATTTTGGGACTTCCAACTACCGCAGGGATGCTTGTAGTGGAAGTCACAGGGATGTAATACGGGATTTACGGGATGGGAATGGCGATGTGAAAAATACGAGATAGTTGTTTTAAGGGGGCGCAAGTCCCTTAAACATGCCGGCCCCTTAGCACCGGTGCAAGACTGTCACGTAGTTCCGTCACTGCTTGGATGGCGACGTCGAGTTTCTGGCACGTCTCGGCCCGGGACGGCCCCTTCGGTGGTGGTGTTGGACTTTTAGTGGCTGATCTGTTGCCTGGAACGGCGCGATGTAGGAGGGTGTGGTGCGCTTGTCTGCACACCCTGCATGACCACTGCGACAGGCATCGTCGGACACTGCTGTGCGTCCTGGCCAAACAATTTGGGCAGTATCGGTGTCGCTCCACACACCGGATGCGGGCCTCAACAGGCATCGCCAGAAAGGCCAGGCATTGGCGCAAAGGATGGTACGGGAAACAAATCAGGCACTGGTGCACCAGTGGATCCGGTAACTGGCGTATTGGTGACGGTAAAGATGGAGATCGCCTGTAAATAAATGGGACTTTAGTACGAAATATTTATAGACGGATGAATAGAATGAGAGCGAAGTATTTCTAAGTGTGGTGTGTAGCATTGGGATCAGGGAGATTTGTTTGTGCTGGCAGTGGACACAATTTTACAATTGGTCGGGTAAAACTCCCATACTGGGTTTTTACATCTGCGACTCGTATGTTATTGTCAACCCCGTGGTAGACCCTTTCGATTCTGCCCAAACGCCATGCGTTTGGGGGTACCAACTCGTTTTTGATTACAACGAAGTCGCCTATGGCCAAGTTATTTTGCGGGAGTTTCCACTTGTACCGTTGATGCAACTCTTTAAGATACTCGTCTTTCCATCTTTGGCTGAACTGCTGATGCAATAATTTGAGTTTCTCCCAACGATTTCGTAGTGAAAGGTTGTCGAGTTGGGGTTCTGGAGATGCAAGAAGTGGGGCACCCCGCAAGAAGTGGCCAGGTGTTAGAGCTAATAGCTCTTGGGGATTGTCGGAGATGGGTGAGAGAGGTCGCGAGTTCAACACTGCTTCAATACGGGCCAGTAAGGTTGCGAGCTCTTCGAAGGTGAAATGGTAACTCCCAGCAATTCGCTTAAAATGAAATTTAAAACTCTTGACGGCCGCCTCCCAGAGGCCGCCCATGTGGGGAGCGTTTGGCGGTAAGAAGTGCCATTCAAAGCCGTGGAGATTATATTTTGAGCGTATATCGTCTGATGTTTCCTTAAGAAATCTCTTGAAATCAGTTTTAAAGGCTCGATTGGCACCTACGAAGTTTTTCCCATTATCGGAAAATACGCGTTGTGGTAGACCCCGTCGTCCGACGAAACGCGAAAATGCTGCTTGGAACGCTTTGGTGGAGAGATCTGAACACGCCTCTAAATGGATGGCCTTAGTCGAAAAGCAGATGAAAACGCAGACATAACCTTTCATCAGGGGTGATTTTCGCAGTGTAGATGACTTAACATCAAAAGGACCTGCGAAGTCAATTCCGGTGTGAGTGAATGGCAAGGAGAAGTTTGAACGCTCTGGCGGTAATGCTGCCAATATTTGCGAACGCGTATTCCTTTTGAAGATTTTACAGGTTTTGCACGTTCGTATGCAATTTTTGACCTGGGATTTTAATCTGGGAATGAAATACTCTTGTCTGGCGGTTCGGATCATTAGTTGATGTTCAGCTTGCATCAGCAAATTGTGTATAAATAGAAGAAATAGGTGGCAGAATCTGGAAGAGGGTGGGATGATGATCGGATATCTCTCATTGTAAGAGAGTGACGAATTTTCCAGACGGCCATTTACTCGGACAAGTCCATTTGTATCGATAAAGGGGTTTAAAGTCAAAAGGGAACTCCTTTTGGAAATGGGTTGTTTGTTAGAGAGTTTCGCGTATTCATTGGGATAATGCCTTTCTTGGGCGAGTTTAATGAGACGAGATTTAACCCAATGAATTTCCCTTTGAGTAATTACCGTTGTTTCATGATGGATAATCGAAGTATCCTGTATGCGATTTCGCGTGGTTCGATGAAAGGAACGAAAAATGTAGCATATTACTCTTAAGGCTTTTGACCAGGATGAGAAACGGTTTAAGGGATCAGGTTCTTCTTCTAGCGTATGAAGAGCTTCAACTTTTCGATCTTCAAGTGGAGCAACGTTTTGACGAAATGATGTTGGCCATTGATCTGAAGGTTTCTTGAGCCAGACCGGTCCGTGCCACCAAAGGGATTGTTGAATTAAGTCTTGTGTTCTGCAGCCCCGCGTTCCTAGGTCAGCAGGATTATGTTGGGTTGATACGTGTCTCCATTTGATGTTTCCAATGTTTGTGATGATTTGAGAGGAGCGGTTAGCTACATATACCTTCCATACGCATGGAGGTTTTTCCAGCCACGAGAGAACTATGGACGAATCCGACCATAAGAATATTTCTGTTTCCCCTAGAGGAAGTTGATTTATAACGTTTTTGATACATTTGGACAGCAGCACTGCACCGCAAAGTTCCAGACGTGGAAGGCTTACTGTTTCTAATGGTGCGACTTTAGTCTTAGAGAAAAGTAGGTGAGATGCAATAGTATTGTCGGTCTGAGTTCTTATGTAGATGGATGCGCAGAATGCCTTCTCCGACGCATCACAGAAGCCATGAATTTGACCTATTTGATTTGGTGAAAATTGCGTCCATCTGGGTATTTGGATTTGCTCGATACTGGGAAGGTCCGAAATGAATTGGTTCCACTTTTGCAGTGAAAGTGGTTTAACGCATTCGTCCCACGCAGTGCCATCTAACCATATCTGCTGCAAGAGTATTTTTGCCTGAACAATAATAGGCGCTAGCCACCCTGCGGGGTCAAAAAGTTTCGAAACCGAGGATAAAATTTGTCGCTTAGTAGCTCTTGTACATGGATCGATGGGCTCGGTTGAATAAGAGAATGCATCGTTTAAGGCGTTCCAACGAATGCCAAGAGTTTTGGTAGAGCTAGAGGAATCAAGTTTGAGAAAATTGGAATCGAGCAAATCTTCGGTCGGGATGTGTATGAGCAGGTCGGGGTGATTAGCTGTTATTTTTTTCAAAGGCAGACCGGCTGAAAGCAGACATTGGATAATTTGGGATTGTGCGGTAAGACAAGTACGAATATCGTGCCCGCCAGTCAGTATGTCATCGACATAAGTTTCTGCGGTTAGAATTCTCTTGGCTAAAGGGAAAGAATCTTTAGCGTCGGTTCCCAACTGGTGTAAGGTACGGATGGCTAAATATGGCGCACAATTTACTCCGAATGTTACGGTTTTAAGCGCGAAATCTCTAAGTTGGGTCTCGTTTTCTCTACGGAAGAGAATTCGTTGAAACTGTTGATCGTCTTCATGCAACAGAATTTGGCGGTACATTTTTTGGATGTCGCCGTTAAAGACGTATCTATACAAACGCCAATTTAGGATAACGATCATGAGGTCCGTTTGCAAAGTGGGATGATGGCTTGGAAGCATTAAATACCACGCGAACTTTGGTGGATTTGCTTTCGGGTTTGCTGACGGAGTGATGGGGTAGATAGTAGGAGTGGTAATTACCATTTTGGTAAATTTCATCATCGCTTGTGCACGAGACGGACCTAGAGACAGCTTAGACGGAAAAATAGATTTAAAAGGTAGACGGACTACATATCGTCCATCACTCTGCCGATAGGTGGTGTCTTGAAACAGCTTTTCGCAATACACATCTGCTGCTGAAGCAGGATGTGATTCAGCGATCTCCTCTACTTCCCAGAACCGCTTATGTTGAGAATCAAGACTTTCGCTGAAATCCTCTGCAACATAAGTGTGAAAAGTTGAGCTGTTTGTTGCTTGTAATGGTCCGCTCAAGTACCATCCAAAAATTGTATTTTGCGCAAGAAGGCTGCCAAGAACTTTGTGTTGGACTCCTTCGTGAAGAATTTCAGGTATTAGTCGATCTGAGCGGGAGTATAGAAGTGTGGGTCAGCGAGGTCCCGACCTTTTATATCTGAAAGTTGGGGTTTTTTGATTTGGGAAGTGGGGAAGAAGCTAGTCAATTTGTGGAGAACAATAGCCTTGGTATCGATGCGAATGTCATGACGTTTGGCTACGAGACGAATGTTGCAGACCCGTGTTGAAAAATTTTCTCGATTAGTTGGGAGTCTTAGATGATTTTGAACCCTTTCCGCGACAGCTGGTTAAGCGCCACCTCTCGATTCTGACAAGTGTACTGACCGGACAATGTCCTATGGGAACCCACGCGGTGCGACTCAAGATCGTCACGGATCCCTATTGCCGCAGTTGCCTGGAAGACGAGGTGGAATCATCTCAGCACTTCCTACTCAACTGCCCGGAATTCGCTAGATTAAGGTTTAAGCACCTCGGTGCGCATCTCATCAACACTCCCGAGGGACTCTCCGGAGTGGACATCAGCTGTTTGCGGAACTTTGTTGTGCGCACCCAGCGCTTCTCGTAATTTTACACAGTTACCGTTCAAATGAACTTTTATATAATGTGGTATCACAATGCACAATTGAATGTCTAAGTGAGCTCCTTCGCGGGCCTGCCACCTTAACCTAACCTAACCTAAGCGCTGCCACGTGGTCGAGTATGCGGAGCATCAGGAGAAAAAGTAGCATAACTTCTGGCCATATGAAAGTTTCCAGTTTTTTTTTTTTAATTACTCATCAGAAAACAAGGAATCTGAATTTTGGGATAAAAGTCCTGGATTATATTGTGAAGACTTTTTTATTTTATTTTTTTTTTTTTGTAAACAAATTGTTGATATTTTAAAAGAACTAGTGATCGATTTTTTGGTTTGAAAGCTTGATTATTATTTATTACTCATAACCAGGGAACGGATTTTATGGAAATTGCCTTTTTTTCTGCTAAAGAGATAGAGTATATATACGATTAAGAATGTCCACGATTTAGGGTTGTTCGACTTCACTAGAAAGTCGACTTTCGACTTTTCGATCGACTCTGTACAGCCGACTTTAAAAGTCGACCGATCCACGAAGAAAAGTCGACTTTGTTCGACTTTTTTCGACTTTTTTAATAAAAAGAAAATGTATTAACTATACTCTGTATTTAACTCATATATTAGCTATAAATATAAGAGTCAGAATACGCCAAAAATATCATGATTTACTAGTGGTCTTTAGAATAATCTGTAATTTAGTGAAAAACAAACACTAAAGGATTTTTAAAAATTTTGAAAATTCTTCCAGTTATATAGCATGAAAATGTTGGTGGTGAGGATTTTCAAAAATTATATTTTTGAAAAATAATTAAAAAATTTTTCAATTTTCACCAAAAAAAAAAAATTCTAAAAATTTTTTGAATCGATATTTGGTAATTACGGATAACTTTTTGAAAAATGTGGCCTTCCGATGGAGCAGAATTGGCGGGTATTGGTAGAAATATAGTGCCACTTTATAAGCATGGATAAATATGGGAGTAGCCCAGACAGCTAGTGGATTGGGACTATCCACACGACTAATGTCGCATATTAACTGGAATCCTACCAGCAACATTTTTGGCGGTGTTTAAAATGTTGTACCTTACGGATTGGTCAAATTCGAACCAAAGACTGTCTGTAGAAACTTACATAAACTAATGCAGAAAAACTTTCTTGCATGAAATTTTTAAAATAAATACCTATGTTTATCTTACCTCATTATTAACTGAAGACTGTGGAGACAAACGATTAACAAATTTGAGAAATTTGTTTTCGTATAGTAATTTTATGCGCTGCTCTTAAATGATTTGACAATGTTGTTGTACTGTCATTAAAATTCATTTCTCTACCACACTTTTCAAATTTCACTTCAGGTTAATTGGCAAATTTTTTTAAATACGACCAAACAGCACTCCGCGCCCTTGTTAGAAGATCAGTTTTTATATGCAAATAAATCAAAAAAAGTCGAGAGTCGAAAGTGAAAAGTCGACTTCAGTCGACCTCCATAAACTAAAAGTCGATCACTAAAATTCGACTTTCAGGAGTAAAAAATCGATTTTGATCGAAAGTCGAAGTCGACTTTGCCATCCCTACCACGATTTAGCTTTCCCTGATTCCATATATACACATTTGATGTTGCCTTTTTTTGCCTTTTTTAAAATATTTCTCTTTTTTGCCTTTTTTAAGATATTTGCCTTTTTTTGCCTTTTCTACCTTTAAAAAAGTGATTATAGCAGTTACATTTTTTTTTAAGATTAAAAAATATACACGTGCCCATGCGGTTTATAGAAGCGCAGGGACCTCTTGCCAAATTGGTGTTGGAAAAATTCAAAGCCGTTTCCTCAGCTAACGTAGGCTTGGAAACAATAAGGGGTGTGGATAAAATTGTAAAGGGCGAGGAAAAGGCCCTTATTCCTGATAATATGAACGTTTCAAGCGTTCCATATTTAAATTGGGCTCCACTTGTATCAACTTACGTCGAGCGCACATTTAGTACATTCAAGGCTTTTCTTCGTGAAAATCGAATGAAAATGCTGCCAGAAAACTTCAAAATGCATCTTGTGGTTCAATGTTACTACAACTATACAGATTAAAGTTTTATGAGTTAGAAACTCGAAAGGATAAAATAGTCAAAGATTCAAAGTACAAATTTTTCGTATAATGAAACTAGTTCATAGTTTTGCTATTTTTACTTGTAATATAAACATTTCTAAAATAAATGTATTTTTTAATAATAATTTCTTCAAAGCAGTTTTGATTTATATTCATATTGAAGTAACTTTTTTGACCTATTGCTTATATCGAATCTAACTTCGTAGCAAGGTGGCAACCCTTCGCAAAATATTCAAAATATTTTCAAACCACAACCTCTTTTGTCTGACATCGATATCAGGATAAACATTTCAATTTTCTGTCTTTATTTAAGTCGAACTTGCTTTTTAAAACAGGTGGTAACCCTACTACATATAATTAAGAATTAAATCCTTTTCGATCGATACTCATAGTGTAATAATTGATTTAACTTAAAAATTATTTGAATTAAATTTTTTTATCAGGTGGTACCTCTTTTTGAAAAAATAAGAAGTTATTACCCATCCGCAGGCCAAGACCTTTAATTTGATACCTCATTTTATAAAATCGAACGAACGGTAAGATCTGATATGACGAAAAACGTTTCGCATATTATTCATTAATATGTACATATCATCGCTCCGCCAACAAAAACAGTTATGTAATTTTTGTCGTTTTTTTTGGTTGCATATTTTATTAACACTCCGCAGTACTAGAAATATTCCGAAAAAACAGGTTTACGCTTACTTGCTTATAACCAAGGCGAATTTATACAAGGTGGTGTTACTGGCGGATTTAGATTAGAGCAACAACAACCACATGTATTTCGTATAGCGAGTGTTATGTCAAATCTCCATTCGCCCCAAAGTTTACATGTATTTGGTTTTTGCTTTTGATGGGTGTGCTGTCAAATCAGTAGAAGCAAAAACCAAATAAATGTAAGGCGAAGAAATCAGCTGGTCATTCAACACCACCTTGCATAAATTCGCCTTGCTTATAACTGTTTTTGACCGCAGGCGAATCTGATGAGTGTACTTTGATTTCGATGTAAAAAATAATTATAAACCAACTAAATACATACATACATATGTATGCACATACCACTTACACTACATAGATTCTACTGTTTAATTTGATCGCTTGCAAAATTAACAAAGGTAAAAAGTATGGATGTAGACAGCGTCATACATATGTATGTACATTGTACATAAGTCATATGCGCCATGCGAGGCCATCACATCCTTATATTGCTAATTATTTAGACTACCTATATAATTTTTTATACCCGAGCGCACTTGTGCACAAGGGTATTATAACTTTGTTCACATAACGGTTGTTTGTAACAGGCAAAACGAATCGAGATAGATATAGACAAATGTATACATAAATGATCAGAATGAAAAGAGAAATCGATTAAGCGGTGACTGTCTGTCCGTCCGTCTGTGCACACGATAAGTCGAGTAAAAATTAAGATATCTTAACGAAACTTGGTACGTGTACTTCTTTCGGACGTAGGACGGATGGTATTGAAAATGCGCAAAATCGGACAATAACCACGCCTACCTCCCAAATAACGGTAATTTTTAANACTAAAATTACGGCCGCTTTTCATATAACGGTAAATTTCAGACATGCTTGAAATTTCAATATTTTGAAATTTAAGGACGCTAGTTTACTTAAAATTTATACACGCCGGCTTATCATGTAGTGGTAGCTTTCGGAACGGTGGAAAACATATATTTAATACTTGCGCCGGGTATTTAATGTTCGGCTCCGCCCGAACTTAGACTTTCTTACTTGTTTAAATTATGAGTGTTCCTGGTAACTTTACAACTATAAGGTCAGGTAAAAACCTGGGGAAGCAACGCACAGTGGTTGCATTTATAAATAAAATTTTACCCTAAAGTCTGTTAAGAGTAAAAACTGTAATATGTAAAAGTGGGCGGAGTTGGACACGCCCACATACAGTCATGTGAAAAAAATAGGGACACGACATTGCGACCAGCTTCGGCTATTTTTGTTTTTTTGTTTGTTTAATGTTTATTTTTTTTTATAAAAATACAACTCACCATCTAACAAAAACCACATAAGCCCAAATTTCAAACTTAGTAAAAAAAAGTAGAAAAATTCAATAAAATTTTAAAACAACACAAACGGGGCACCGAAATTGCGCATGTGGAAACTGTGCATTTAGACATTATTTCGGTTTCAACCGAAACTGTGCATGCATGCTTTATTTCGGTTTTTGCCATTTGCATTATTTCGGTTTTCAACGAACGAAAGTATGCATATGCATAATTTCGGTATTTTCTCATACGCATTATTTCGGTTTTCAACCGAAACTGTGCATGCATGCATAATTTCGGTTTTTGTTGCATGCATTATTTCGGTTTTTGTTATATGCATTATTTCGGTTTTCTAACGAAAGTGTGCATATGGATAATTTCATTTTTTTCTAATAGATAGGGTTTTAATCCCTAAGCGCGGCCGAAAGCCGCCTACACAGAGAGAAGTTCTGCGTAAAAATACTTCCGCCCTTCTTTTTCGGCAAGACAGAAGGGAGAGTTTTACTTAGTAAGGGTTATAATCCCTAAGCGCGGCCGAATGCCGCCTACGCAGAAAGAAGTTCTGCCCAAAAATAGTTCTGGTCCCCTTTTCCAGCAACACAGAAAGGAGAACTCTACTTAGTAAGGGTTATAATCCCTAAGCGCGGCCGAATGCCGCCTACGCAGAAAGAAGTTCTGCCCAAAAATAGTTCTGGTCCCCTTTTCCAGCAACACAGAAAGGAGAACTCTACTTAGTAAGGGTTATAATCCCTAAGCGCGGCCGAATGCCGCCTACGCAGAAAGAAGTTCTGCCCAAAAATAGTTCTGGTCCCCTTTTCCAGCAACACAGAAAGGAGAACTCTACTTAGTAAGGGTTATAATCCCTAAGCGCGGCCGAATGCCGCCTACGCAGAAAGAAGTTCTGCCCAAAAATAGTTCCGCCCTTCTTTTCCGGCAACACAGAAAGGAGAATTCTACTTAGTAAGGGTTATAATCCCTAAGCGCGGCCGAAGGCTTCTACGCAGAACGAAGTTCTGCGCAAAAATACTTCGGGTCCCATTTTCTGACAACACAGAAAGGAGAATTCTACTTAGTAAGGGTTATAATCCCTAAGCGCGGCCGAAGGCTTCTACGCAGAACGAAGTTCTGCGCAAAAATACTTCGGGTCCCATTTTCTGACAACACAGAAAGGAGAATTCTACTTAGTAAGGGTTATAATCCCTAAGCGCGGCCGAAGGCCGCCTACGCCGAAAGAAGTTTGTTTCATGTGTGCACTATTTCGGGTTTTGTCATATGCATTATTTCGGTTTTGAGTCGAAACTGTGTATATATGCATTATTTCGGTTTTTAACCGAAGCTGTGCATGTATGCATTACTTCGTTTTTCTCATATGCGTTATTTCGGTTTTCAAACAAAAGTGTGCATGTATGCATAATTTCGGTTTTTTCATATGCGTTATTTCGGTTTTCAACTGAAACTGTGCATATATGCATTATTTCGGGCTTTTGTTCATATGCATTATTTCGGGCTTTTGTTCATATGCATTATTTAGGGCTTTTGTTCATATGCATTATTTCGGTTTTCAAACGAAGAGTGCATTTGCATAATTTCGGTTTTTCTAATATGCATTATTGCGGTTCTCAGCCGAAACTGTGCATATATGAATTATTTCGGCTTTTTTCATGTGCATTATTTCGGTTTTCAACCGAAACTGTGCATATATGCATTATTTCGGTTTTTTCGTATGCATTATTTCGGTACCAACACAAACATTTAGAAACTTTTAGAAAAAATCTGTGTGCAGTTTTATAGCCCATTAAATTCTAGCTGAAGAAATTGCAAGTTTGAAGTGGCTAAAAATTTGCCACGATTGAGAGAAATAGAGGTTGCGCCCATCACGGTACCGCTATTCGTCTCTCAGTGAATTAGACAAAATCGTTGTTTGTATGACGTCACACTTGTGCAACTTGTTTACGTTTTCCTTGCAACATTTTTTCTTCTTCCATTCTTGCTCACGTTTTGGCATTTCTCTCTCGCAATTGCACCAGTGTGACGTCACACAAAAGTTATTCTCAAAAATCCTCTCTGATGGGCGCAATCTTGTATTCTATGATTTTAGGGTGTTACTATTTGCTTCCATAAAAAAAAATTGTTAAACATACTTTGAATGGAAGAAAATGCGTGACACCGCACAGTGTTTCGACTATATGGAGGCAGGAAGAAAAAAGTCATGGTGACAGTTGGTAAAAAAAAACCGGTTTGACTTAGAGAGGGAATAGTAAAAGTCATAAGTACCAAATTTTACATTATTTACTCACCCCCTTCTTCACGAACGATACATTTCCAAAAAAATACGGGAAGGGGCGCGATACCGACTAATCAGTTTAGTTGCATTTGGCGCTGAACCCATTACAGAAAGTGTTTCTTTTTCAATTGTAATTAATTATCTAAATGCCGTGGAATATTCAGGTGAAGGTATTTATCATTTATTTGGTATTTTCCTATTTTCTTACCAAAAAATTTACTTTGAAATGTAGATGCTAAAGATTATTAGTAAAAAAAGTGTGAGTACCGGTCCGTCAGGTCTTGAAATTAGACTAATATTTTAGAGAATTTTATGTAGTTTTCGAATATATAATTTGATTTTTGCGCGCGACTTTGCAAATATATGTAATTTTTGATTTTCTTAATTTTTGATTTTCAGCTTGTTTTTGCATTATTTAGCGAAAAGAATTTTTCAAACAATAAAAAAATACCACCAGATATTGGGAAAAAAGCGAGTATTGACACCTAAATCATTTTATTGTATAGCCTTTGTTTTCTGAGAGTGGAAAGCAGGAAACAAAAATTACCCAAAATTCCATCACATTTAATGACTATGCCCACATTTTTTGTGAGTTTTGAACGTTATAGTAATCCAATCTTCCCCATATTTTATATTTAGGTTTTTCTAATAAAATAAAGACTACAAACTAGATTTCATCGAAATCGGATGAGATTTAATGTTTCCGCCCTCAAGAGTAGAGGGCGTGGCAATTATTCCATCTTTACAAAATTTCATAATTCTCTATTTCTAAGTAAAACTAGAGCACATGTCAAGTTTCAGTGAAATCGGTGCAGGTGTACTATTATTTCCATCTGCCTCCCTATAGTCGAAACACTGTGCACCGTCAGGAAAAAAATTATCAAAAATCAAAGCAATTTCTTAACCACTTAAAACTTGCACTTTCTTGAGCTAGAATTCAGTGGGCTATAAAACTGCATACATAACCTTTTTCTAAAAGTTCTTATTTAATTGGTGTTATTTCAAAATTTTGTTGAATTTTTGTATTGTTTTTACAAAGTTTGAAATTTGGTTTTTGTTAGATAATGAGTTGTATTTTTATAAAAAAACAAACATTAAACAAACAAAAAAAAATAGCCGAAACTGGTCACAATTTCGTGTCCCTATTATTTTTCACATGACTGTACGTGGGCGTGTCCAACCCCGCCCACCTTTACATATTACAGTTTTTACTCTTAACAGACCTAAGAGTAAAAATTGTATCCCGATATGTTCGTCGACGCATAGTCTTTTTGAAGACTCAGCAAAATCTATTTTCGGGCGCCACGATTTGAATTGGTGGAAACTGTTGGTCAACATTTTAATGAAATGATTTCTTTCTTTTCGAGCTAATTATGATGATTTTTCAAAACAATGCAAATTTTTTACAAACGCAATTAATGCATTTTTGCAACTCATAACGATCTGGCTCAAAACCCTCATATTCAATATCTTTCGCTATTGCACCCAGCAAATTTTGTACTTTTTGGGGAATGCGTACCGAAATTTTCACGCCAAATCTCAAAAACATGCAATCGAGAAATTTCGCAGCATTAACTTGTGCCTAGAAACATTTTAATTTAAAAAATTAAATAAAAAAATAAACATAAAAAAAAACTGTAGAAAATAAAGAGCTTGGATAATACTACGCGAGCCTCTGCAGTTCAATGCATCTACACTGAACACTTATATAATCTTAAAATATTAACAAACAATATGTAAATAAAAATATTGAGGGCCGATAGGGGAAACACACTTAAGACATTGCCTAAATATTTGAAAGATGAACCAAGAAACACACAAAATCCTACTTTTCTAAAACAACGATTTGCATAGAACGCAACACGAATTATCTCAAAGTTTAATTGTAGAAATAAAGTCAGTACCTTTATGTACAATATCCCATGCATAAAATTTTAACTCACTCGGCTTTTCACAATATTTTAATTACGTTAAACCAATTCAATTTTCAGCGTGCTGACGCTGTACAAATAAAATGAACAATTGATGACACTTTTGGGGCTTTTTTCAGAAACAACCCGTTAGAATGAAAACAAAAAATATATGACAACATGAATTTTGGACAAAAAACTGATTGCAAAGCTTATTTTGGTGTAAAAATTGTTACATACATTTTTTTTTATTTTGGCCTATGGCAGCAACCACTGTGCAACGGTATGCAGGATCACAGGATAGCTTTATGTAAATGGTGAACTAAAATTCAAGTTGTGTCATACCGATTGCTGGAGGTCATTGCCACAAAAATGAGCTCTGTTATTATAGCAATACGAAACGGAACTGGTCCAAAAAAATTTATCAATCTAAACACAACTGCCTTGAGACGTAAAAGCAATATATGTATACACAAAGATTTCCATTCGTTTTATGATAATCTACCTCGATAAATACTTAGCTTTACATTTTTATGCAATTTACTAAGTTATGCAAATTTGCTTAATGTATACAAATGTGAAAGCATTTAATAAAAATTCAGTTATATTTATATTGAAATTATTTCTTGTATATACGAGCTTTCATTGGATATCACCCATCGAAACTTTGAAACATAGGGTCAAGTTAATACGCTGGCCCAAAAAACAGTTCGCATCTCTGGCAATTTTATGGTTTGTACAAAATATGTGTCCACTCACCACTTTGCATAAATTTTTATTACAAAAATCCAATAAAAACGTTTCTGGCCATTTTTCATTATGTACATAACAGGAGCAACGGGCAGTTAACTAGTCGAGTCCTCCACTTCTATACATTGCCTCTAGGCCTAACGGCAGTATTATGTACAAATTACATACGATTCCATACCGCCAAAAGCAAATTTAAATCGTGTATAAAAACAGCTATGTGCTTTAAAGCGGTGCAAATGTTGATCACATCGAAATTAATTTAAAAAAATTTATTTTTTTTCATAAATCAATAACATATTTTTAATACATATTTATTTTAATACGACATTTGCAAAATATTGCCTATTGGCACCAGTAATCAGATTTTTTGCTCTCCTGAAATGTTATCAAAAACACATAACTGTTTTTGTTGGCGCAGCGACAATATGTACATACATACAAATATATGTGGATTACTAAAAGAAAAACAGATCCACATTAACTGCAATCAACAACCAATAAACATTTAGGTTTGAGCTCAACTTGGGGTTAAGTTGAGAATTAAGGTAATTCTCAAATCTCCAACGTTGTTTCTCAACAGTATCTCAAGTGGAGGATCATAGCGTTCTCAACAAAAAGGCCATTTTTCTTTGTATGAAAAAAGGACTGTTTCTCAAGTTGAAAAAATGCTAGCTCTCAACTTGAACTCCAATATAATTCTCCAATTGGTCTCAAACGTATCATTGAAATACTGAAATTGAAATAGTAAAATACCTTATACCTTTTTGATTGAAACGACATACATAGATGAATTTAAATATTAATTTTTCATTTTATTCCTCATTTGTATTATGTAGTTAATCAACATCGTATTACAATAATTCACTTCAGTATACAGTCCGACAGTAATTTTGCTACTTGATTCACTTCGCATTTTATTTTCATCCAGATTATTTGAGGACACTTTGAAGATTATTTATTTTTTGTTGGTAAACTTCCTCTTTATATAGCTTTCGTTTTTCACTTGATAACTAAAAATTCGTTTCTTTATCACTTTTTACGTATCTGCGCGTCGGTTAGAGATGAGTTGGAGAATGATGTTGGATATCAACTTGAGAACTGTGAATTTCTCCAAGGTTGGAGAAATATTTTTTGGTGTTTATTGGGCATATATTTACATACATACGCCGCGATTAGGTTATAAATATTGCACCATCCACATATTTTTTGTCTTCTTCTCTCACTCCCTGCGTATGTACGTGTCTGCAAAATGATGACGAAGTGATTTTGTATGGAAAATCATTTATGCCCATATATTTGAATAAAATAAACATACCTAGAAGATATTAACCAATATTTCCTATATACCAAACGAAAGGAAAACAACTGAATTTTCGATTAAAGAAAACGAAATACAAATCATTGGAACGGGTTTCGAGTTTTTTGCCTTAAAATGCTCAATATTTGTTGAATTTATATAAAATTTGTACATGATAATGTTTCTATTGCTCCAGAGAACCGATATCCCGAAAATGAAAGTTATATCTGTAAATCATAAGTTGCTAGAACACTTTAAAGGCTCAAAATTGGCCCCAACATAAGCCAATATTTACCGTTGCTTCTACGACAGAAACCGAATTGGTTACTTACAAAAATGAATCCGCCGATAGGTTTGGAATTTTGTCTTTGAAACGCCATACTTTTTTTTTTGAAATCGCTTCATTAGTTCTCGTGTAACAAGCTTTTTCGTGAAGCTCTAATAGCCCGAACACAATGAAAACGACGAGCTACGGACCACAGCTGTCAAATTATTTTAACACGTACTCTTATGTACGTCGACTGTGATTGTGGCCCAAGAATGATAGAATACAAGATTGCGCCAATGAGAGAGGATTTTTGAGCGTAATTTTTGCGTGACGTCATCTTGGTGCATTTGCGAGAGAGAAATGCCAAAACGCATATAAAAATATGTAAACAATGCAGAAAAATGTGTTAATTTTAATATTACATTGCCCAATTTTGCAGGAATCAATAAATATACAAAGATTGATTAATTAGAAACACGTATCAATAATTTTGGACATGTAGCTCTTTAGATAAGTACGATTTTTAGCACATGAAAAAATGGATGTATTAACAGTGTTTGCAATTTCATGTAGACCAAAAGGAAGGTGTGCCGCAAAGAGAATTTTTGGACTTGCCATTTTAAAAAGCCAAGCAGAGTGCATATTTATATTTGTGGACGTTAGCCAACCACCATAAACTCCACAGCTGTTGACTCCACAGCTTTGATTTTATGACTTTTGTATCATTTTCGAGAGGATGCATGAGTGTGGCTTTTTTGGAAGCAAATATTCTATGTCAGTAAAACATAACTTAAGTTGAACTTTTAAATGTATAATAATTTGGGCACTGTATTGTATTAGGTACGTAACAGCGCGGTAAGATGCCGCTTGAATTAGCGCCTGGCGACCTTATCCACTGGCGCATTACCTCATACCAGCACTAAAAAAATCAGGTACTAACAAAAATAAGTAGGTAGTGAAGTTCGTGTATCTATTTCCTGTAGAAACTGCTTTTGTATGTAAGCCGTTGCCAGCAAACTAAACCAGCAACTGTCTACATTCACCATGGAAATATACCTACTACAATTCACCAAGGAAGGGCCAACATAGTTCCATGTAGAAGCTCATAGCTCACACACATAGCACAAAGCTCAATTTGGTGATTAATGCATGCCCTCCCCGGCAGAACTGCTTCCACTTTTTCCCCAGGTTTGCGTCCGTAGGAAACGAAAAAAAACTTATATCGCACGCTTTCCTTTTGTTTGCACTATTACACTTTGCCAATGCACACTTCATTTTGCTTTTTAATGTCTCAATAATTGTTTAAAACCACGCAGAAATATTAACGCACAAATATTAAAATTGTTATTTGGTTTTTTCGTATGCTCACATTCAACAATTGCACCAAGATGACGTCACGCACACAGCTCATTCTGTCAAAATTACAAAGAGCGGATTAGCGGTACCGCGATTGGCGCAATCTCTATTTCTCTCAATCGTGAGTGTGGCCAGGTTGAGATTTTTCTATTTTTACAGCGACAGATAAGGTTCATACAAATTCATGATGTCGCTGCCGCGTTCAAAAAAATCATGTCGTCATCGACAAAGCGTTTAGATAATGAAGATAACAATTTGGAAGCTGCGGCCCGTAGCTCGTCGTTTTCAATGTGTTCAGAACTTAAAAATTACAACTACAACATTTGAGCATAGCCTCCATATCGAAACGTA